GCGGTACATCGGCAAACACTATGTGGCAAGGCAGAGCTTGTGAAAACTCCATGAAAGATGACTCGCCACCAGAAACCAGGAGGACGGGTGGAGATAGCAAACACTGGCGAAAGGCTCAGATTTCTGCACTTACAATTCCACCTGACAGAAAACGCTAAGGAGGCTGCCATATCTGCCAGGAGCATCCGACCGTGACTGCCAGCGTGAACAGAAGCGACCGGAATTCGACAGAGGATATGCGACAGCAAGCACAGGCATAGACGTCATAACTGCCAGAGTCGATAAGCGGTGCGTAAGCACGGGGACTGGTGTGGCAACCCCTTGTTGTTCGGCCGAGTGCAATCAAAGCCAGGACTTCCATAGCAGCAGAATTGCCTCGTAATGCCACTTTAACCACTGGATAACATTCAATGTAACTGTAAATGCAATTGTACTTCCAATGCTATTGTAAAAATGCACCTCAACTGAACTGCCGCCAAGTATGTGGAATGATAGTGTTTGCAAAAAATAAATAGTTAAATACGTGTGCTTAATGCTTATACTGAACGATCGACAACGGCGGCCGGTAAACCGTTCTTTTCTTCAAAGAGATCGGAGATAAGCTGAAGCAACAACAGCAAATGAACAGATTAAAGTGGGGAACATTTCGTTATCAGTATCCAACCAACCATCGGTGACTTCTAAACAAAGGTCTTGAAATCATGAATAGAAAAGGGCAAACGTAGGAAGAATTGCCAATCAGTTGAACAGAGCACGTTCAATGTTATCCCAATGTGCTGATCGCTGAGGCGGGACTAGAAAGTGGTGATAGCTCAAACAATACAATACCATCTCCTTGCTCGAGGTCCAATAAGCGTTTGGCGCTCGTCATTCACAGAGTCCATCACCGTCCACCCTGCCAGCGTCCACACTCCAAGACCACTGCCCACCAACGTTACTGTCCTAGTCAGCAGTTGTGCTGCTGGCCAAGGTGCATTCTGTGAAGCTTTCCTGGGCTCGCCCTGATGAAACAGGGGTGTTCGTAGGACGGAAATGGAACGGGAGCCCGGCGCCCGCTATTCTCAGCAGACTGGCCAACACGTCCCACAACCAACAGGCAAGTCCCTCGTAAATGGATGGCATGCATGACGTCACTCGTCAAAAGCTGCTTTGAACTCTTTGACTGCAATCTCCGTGGACTTGTTTGAAGCGTCCACAGAAAAAGTATGCCGCACTGTATTGAAAACTTAACAACAGATACAGCGCGATGTCCTGATTAACAAATTTGTCAAACTGTGTTGCAATCAAATAAACCGAAAGAATATTGCAATGAATCCTAAGTTGTAAGTGAAACAAAAAGACAAACAACACCCAGCTCCTCCCCGGAGAGGGTATCGATTCAACCACAAAAGCTTCAGAACACTTACGACTCCAGTGGGACTCGCCAGCGCTTCTGAAACGGCACGGCACTGAACGGAACACACACACACTCGAGCCAACACCAGGCGAAATCTGTCCCCGTTCAGCTCCGACCCACGACTGGAGTCGGTGGGACGGAGCTCTGCACCGGGTCCCGCGCGACGGTCGTCCGAGTTCATCACACAGAGCCGCCGCCGGTGGCACTAGCCGCATCGTCAGAGTCTAAAAACGGACCTGACCCGGCCGCGACGGTCGGCCTAATTGGAAGGCAGGGCCCATTACCGAGGACGGGTTGGCTTGCACGACCACGGAGAGAGGCACAGAGGAAGAGAGAGAGAGAGGGAGGGAGAGGAAGGGAGGGGAGGGAGAGATTACGTAAGAAATGAGAGTGCAATGCATAGAGAAAAGCAGAGAGGCAGAGATTATCCCTGTTGGATATGACTGTGACTGCGTTCTGCAGAGCTTGCTGCCTCTCAACTATGCCCTGCATAAACATGACGTTCGCATGAAGTGTATACCAAATGCATGTTTGGTATACAATACAAGCAGGGCTAAATGCAAGTTTTCATGGTAATCTGACACATTTTGGCAAACTTTCCAAGCAAAAGGTAGCGCACATCCCGAAACGTTGCCTCAGGTAGATACCAGTTTTTCGTCGAGTTTCCAGGCCGCGTCAGGTCAGCAGTCAGCGGTTGCAAGATTGCCTTCGACCCGTGCGGATCGGTTGGATCCGAGCCCGTATCCCCTCGCAGAGCACCCACTACCCCTATCGGCAGAATCGGCCGTATCGGCGGCGGCGGTGGCGCTGGGGCCGTTTCGGACGCCATTCCGGGCCTGCAGACGGCACGAGCGGCCGGCTGGGGAGTGCCGCCGCGGTGCCGCCGCGCGAACCGCACCCTCTCGAAATAGTCCGCTCGGACGGCAGAGCTCTGATTTCTCGTGGTACATACTAGCCGACGGTGGGTCGCGCGCAACACGACTCCTGAAGATGTTCAGTTCCACACCTTCATGCCAGACCGCACTCAGGGCTACGACAGCTCCAAAATCGTCACATAGAAGTGCTGGGACCCATGTGTGGATTCCCCTTTGGACGTGCGCGGAATGCCTGCGGAAAATGCCCTGGTCCGGCGAAAGTTAGGACATCTCGCTAAAAACATCAACTGAACGAGTATCTGAAAGCATATTTCGAAGACAAAAGGGAGGGAGTGCTTCGAAGACAAAAAGGGAAGTATTTATCACTTTGACATTTATCCAGCTGTTGCGTCCTATAACATTGCTCAAAAGGCCTTAACGAATGTCGAAGACAGTTCTGCTTTATATCCTGGTGGTCACATTGCGTTTTTTACCACGCACTTCCGTATACCTACTGTCGTGTGCTTCTCTTCCATTATTGCACAGGTACTTACTAATGTAAATTTATCTTCACTCCAGTAAATTGTGTACGGTGTATGCTCTGCGCCCGTAGCCGTCCTTGCCCTGTCCCTTCGATCGTGTGCCTATCGTCGTTTGTTTGACCGACATTTGTTTCTGCGCCTGTCAGACATTGTACTACAATTGCGTCGCCATCAATTTGTCCGTAATCTATCGGATTATCGCGGCTCTGCCCTCCTTGTACACGTCCTTTCAGCAAACACTAAACGAGCAGCGGAACGGAGCGCCGGCACGGCCCGGCGACAAAGCCGACTGCCGAGAAAAGCCGACACTTTAGCAGCGGAGCAATCCTTCTGACGTCACTGTGACGTGACGTCACTCAGTGTGTCGGCACACACGCTGCGTGCCAGGATGGCAAACACAGCATATGGGGCAAGACGGGAAGGCGGCGGAACTGTGACCCCTGAAGGCGTGACCTCTGACCTCCCAGACTACCGGCGATATTCGACAACAGATGGCCTCCTCCTGTCATTCATGATCAGCTGGTGACATCTGGGGTCTGGTGACCTCTTCTGTGGCCAAAATTATGATGGTGGGGTTCAGGGGCCAGTGATCTCTGTACTTCAGTAGTCTCCAGTGACCATTTTCATACACCAGGCACTGACCTTCAGTGACCATCCCCATACCCCAGTGACCTACAGTGACTGTGACCAGACACCAGTGACCTCTAGTGACAGCCCTCAGTCACCAGTGACCTTCAGTGACCAGTCCCAAACAGAAGTGACTTATAGTGACTGCTCCCAGAGATAATGACCTCCAGCAACCATCTCAAACACCAGAAACTTCTAGCAACTGCTTCCATTCCACATTGAATGTGTTGAATGCATTGAATGCAGATGAATGACAAAAAATGTCATGTCATTTGTCAAAGCGTTAAGCAGCCTAGCACTATATGGCATGCATAAACAATGAACAGCCAATGATTGTTTCAGTATATGTGCTAGCAAACGTCATAAGAATGGATTAAACTTTGCTTAGCCTTAGTTTTAGATTGGGTATTTACCTGCTTGCATGACTATCTGCTAAATGAGGCTTGATGTGTAGGAACACAGACCCACATTCTGACCATATCATCTGCATCAGGGCCTAGTTAGGTAAGCAGCATAAATTTTGTTTTCATATTTTGTTTGAATTATTGTAGCACAGGCAATGAGTGTGCAAAATGCAGTAGGTACCCTTGAGTCTTATCTACCTCTGTACCTACCTTACAGCTGGCATTGAAAAACAATGTGATTTTAGTTTTTACAGTGTTGACTGTGGACTCTGCTCAACTCACTGACAATGAAGTTGCCATCCAGGCACCTTGTTCAAAAGGCCATGAGGACTGAGGAGGGCAGAGTTTGATTAGCAAGCCACTACATTAGCATGGAACTAAGCTAAATGTAGCATGGAGCTCCCACATCTGAGGAGGTCAGGGCCTGAATGCTCTATTATCTCTGCTTGAATGAGCATTGATTTTGTCAATCTATCCACTAAATACAGTTGAACATTCTTAAAAGTTCATTTATAACATCATTCACATTGACTTAAACCAAACAAATACATAATGCTTATACCTTAAAAGGAACTTAATACTTGTCCTCCATGTGGCCTAATAGAAAAGTCTCCAGGTAAACCCATGTATGCATATTATGGGATGGCAGTAGATTCAGAGCCAGGAAGCTCCATGCCATTAATTCCACTCTCTGGCTGGCAACTAGCAGGAAGCCCAGACTAGATGTCCCAGTCCCAGATGGAACAGGCCGCCATCTGCCTGTGGTACATCCAACTTTTGATTCAAGTATACCAAGCAAAGACAAGGTGGAGTGGTGGGTCCGCTGTGTCATTTGCAGCCAGCACTGCTCGGGGGGCGGGGGGAGGGGCATCCAGGGGATGCCGGTGAAAACAGGGCACCGGAGGGCATATTAGTCACGTGACATTTGTAACTTCTCCCCTTTCGTGGGCCTTCTACATGCTAAACGTCACGTGTAAATTTCACGAACCTTGATCAAATCGCCCCAGGCGCCCTGTTTTCACCGTCGTCCCATCCAAGCGCATAATCACCCATTCATCCATTATCCATATGAACAAAATTTATTTTCAAAAATACAAAACATTGTATCTCTACATATACATAGAAAAGAAAAAATCAGCGACTGACAATAAAGAACAAAATACAGGTTTAAACTCACCTGATCTGATCCTGTAGTTCAGGAAAACCAATCCTGTCAGACCTCCTAGCTTGCTTGTGCTGGTGAGGCTAAACTTGTTTCAGCTAGTGTTGAAATACCTGATTTCTGCACATATTGATTCAGGTGGGACCCCAATAATCAACCTCACTATCAATATTGCTTTCAATGACCAATATGAATACAGAATATGCAAACCGAACTCTTTTTGCACCATATATCATATGATATGATATGGAGAAGTTCTATTTGTATATTTGCGTTTATGGCGACAAAATGCCAACAGTTTAGTGCATAAGCAAGAACTTCTCAGCATGCAAAAAGTTTGGTCAGCTGATTATAAATTGTAGCTGATCTATGTAATTAAAAAGAATCAAGTAATGTAAAATTACATACAATTTTTATCATTATTATGAATCAAGTGATTTCTCATGGAAAATTCTGGTTTTAACTTCCTCAAGGCATTAAGAACTTAAGAACATCTTTGCTCCTTTTTAACTGAATCTGTAAAAATATTTTAAAAGTAGTTAAAATATGACTGTAGGATAACTCAATGCTTCGAAATTCGATAAAAATATGTATTTTGCATAGACACCTCCTGTATCTATGATATTTTACAATGTCACAAATTATGAAGTCTTTTAGTCAGGGGTGTTCACGGGCACCGCACACTGCTGCGTGCGGTGTGTGCGGTACGTCCAGCAGGCGTGGGGGTAGGGGATGGGTAGGCGGCTCTGACGTCACGGCTGCGTGCGGTGGACGGTCCGCTGTGGCCAGTCCCGACCGGCCACAGCGGTCGCTGTGTGCGGTGACGCAAGGCTGACGTAGGGACGCAGTGGGCGGAGCTTGGAGGCTGTGTGCGGTCCGACCGCACACAGGGTCCGTGAACAGCCCTCAGCTGACGATGATAAACTTGTAGAATACAAAAGCAGAACACAGCTTCTCATTGCATGTCATTACTGCGCAGCTGAGACAATACATTTTAGGGGGCGTTATGTCCGTGAAATAAGCTTCGTATACGATTTCGAATTCAACATCGATTTCAGAATTTACCTTTCAAAACGCAAGTAAAGCTCGTCGTATCACACACAAAAATAAAGGCCGAAACGGCATTTTTGTGTCCTATAGGCGGATCCAAGGCGGTTTTGGACGCTGTGGCCATGCCATGCGGGGAAATAGGCCTACCCCTAAAAACGCTTCTCGAAACTCCAAGGCTTCTTGGATTTCGATTCCTTACGCATTGCTGTAGCCGTAGGTAGGTACCTACCGATGGTTTAAGGAAAACTGTGCTGATATAAGCCGTTTAAGTTTTCTTCTTGTCCTAGAAAAATGACAAATTTTCATCGATTCCGGAGCTGCGAGGAAGCCACCTGCCCCAGACCTATCCCTTCTCCCTTACTTGGATCCGCCAGTGAGCATTCACCGATTGATTAGTACATAAGTTGGCGATTATTTTAGAAGAAATCTAAGTTGTGCGCACGATCGCTGCTGGCTGTCCCACTAACGAAGCATGAGTCAGATGTTTTGCAGGATCCAGTCGATATGTGCGCTGATGCGAGTGTAGAGGCCGGGGAACTCGGGGTTGCCGCAGCCGACGCCAGCCGACACGATCCCCACCAGCTGGTAGCTGCCGTCAGCGAGCCGGCGTACCAGCGGCCCGCCCGAGTCGCCGCGGCACGCGTCCCGCGCCAGCTCGCCACCGCCACCGCCGCCGCCCGTGGCGCACAACACGCTGTCGGTGAGCCCGGCGGGGAACTCGGTCCCGAACGTCGGCAGCTGACGGTAGGCGGCCTCGCAGCTCTCCGGCGCCACCACGCGCAGCTCCGCCTCCTGGAGAACGTCCGAGCGGCTGCCGGCGAACTCGGTCAGCCCCCAGCCGGCCAGCGACACCGGCTGACCGGTCAGCGCGCCGGCCGGCTGGCCCGCCGCTGGCAGACAGACCGGCTGCACGTGCGGCCCCAGCAGCGCCGGTCGCCGCAGCCGTATGATGGCGAGGTCGTGCAGCGGACTGTGCGGCTGCCCCGGCCGCGCCGCGTACCCCGGGTGCACGAGTAGCTCGGAGGCGGCCAGGTCCTGCGTGCGTCCGTCGGCGGTCGTGCTGAGGTCGTACTCGCCGAGCCGAACCAGCAGCTGCGCCGGCTGCCGGCCGACGACGCAGTGCGCCGCCGTCACCAGCGCGCGGCGGCCGACCAGCACGGCGCCGCAGAACCAGCGCTGGTCGCCGCTGGTGCCGCGCTCGCCAAGCAGCGCGGCCCACGGCCAGCGCTGACGTACCGCGTCCTGACCTCCGGTGACACCGAGCAGACCGCTGGGGGCCCTCCTCCGCCGGCCGACACTCGGCTGTTCGCGGCCACACTGCAGCAGGGGCTCTATCGTCGGTCCAACAGAGGGCCGAGCGGGTACCACAGAGGGCGGCACGGGCGACGGCAGCGGCGGCGGGGTCGGCAGTGGGGGTGGTTTAGGGAAGACGTGCGACGGCTGGTCCCACTGCCAGCTGGACGGAGGGTCAGGAATCACTGCGTTGGGCTGGTTAGACGGCCACTGTCCTGGTGAATTCGAAGGCGGCTTCCACGGCTTTAGCTGGCCCGGACTCCAGGGCTGGTGCTGGGCTGGTTTCCACGGGCTCGGAGGTGCCGGTGCAGGGACTGATGGTGTCCCGGCCGCCGCTCTGCCCTTCAGACAGCAGACGTGACTGAACCGAGGCCCACAGCCGGGACCGGGTAGCGGACGACCGGGAGCACACAGCTGCGACTGCAGACAAACCACCCGACCTCCGCTGACCGACGGACATCCGTCCACCACGGCTGTGACCTCTCCACAGTACAGCAGCGTCCACAGGACGGTCCACAGCCCCGTCCACCGCCACAGGCTCCGACCGGGTCGCGGGTGAATCCACTCCGAGTTTCGTGATGCCGTTTTCTCCATGACTAAGAAGTGAAAGCACCCCGTTGACTGTTCTCGGCCTTATCTTCTCACAATCTGGGCACTGCTGACACAGACATCTACTCGTATGTGCTAAGCTTCAACTGGAGACACTTCTCTGTGACACTGATGTTCTGGACTGTCAGCCACGAGCGCCTGTCGCGGACGACTCTGCTTGGCAGACGACGACTCTGCAGCCTGCCGTCCTCTCTGACGGTCTCACCCTCACTGAGGTCTCCTCCGTCACCTCCGTCACCGCCGCAGCCACCGCAGGGCACTGCGCTGTAGGATTTCCGTCTCCCTGACCCCACTCTGTATGTGGATAGAGCTGGCGGAGCCTGACGGTGCGAGCAGACACAGTTGTGTACCTATGCTAATGTCAGCCGTTGTGTGACGACGGAGTTTCATGGTAGGTAGCTGACTGCGGTAGGGGTGCGGTGACGGCGGTGCTGGAAAGGCCCAGCACCCCACCGCTGTGTTGACGGTGACTTGAACGGTCAGAGGAGGTCGGTCATGCAGACGGAGGGCAAAACTGGAAGCTGGGAAGGCGAGGAGGGAAAGAGAACCGAATGGAGAGACAGTACGGAGGCAGATGGACACTAATCAGAGACGGGTCGTAAGTGGAACAAAATCGATACGGAGACGGGACGGATTATATACGGAGACGGGTGGCGACGGGACCAGGATGGGTGGAGACGGGACGGGACGGGACGGGTGAAAACGTGACGAAGATGGGAAGGATCTAGATGCCGGACCGAAACAACACACGGCTAAGTAATCGAAATTACAAGCGGAAACGAAACAGACGGTAACCTGCGCTAAAAAAACAAATTAACAACAACAAAAAAAAAACTATGATAAACGCAAGGAGGGCGGCCGAGGGCTGCAGTGTCTGTGCCCGTGTGGTCGAGGTGAGGTGATGACTTAACAGACATATCTGATGTTACCTCAGCTATACCGATGCTTAGGTTCTGCTCCCTCCCCGCTCGTCCGCATGCAACTCAATGCAAACATCCCGGTCACCCTGTTGCCGTGCCTGCCACGACCTGCCACGACCTACCCAAGGGAGGGTCGAACACTGGCACATAGCGAGCAAACATGATATTCGGAGATTGAGTCTCCTGAACGACTAGTCTCGTGTGTAAAGAGCACACCTATATTCATACTGCAAGCTACATGACGGTGTGCTTTTTTTCGAGCCGCTGCTCTCACGGGCTGTAACTTGCCGTAAAAGTGAGTCGACATCATAGCCTCCATAGGCATTCAAAGATAAAAATAATATATAGTTTCACATAATTTATTTATACGATTAGGTAGCGCCACAATCTAATATTAAGTGTGGAGAAAGCTTCTAGCACAACAGAATTCCCTGAAATGAAGATGGTTGGAAGTTAATTCTTTTGATGCCAGATAAAAGGGTCTAAGAAGCGTACCGATTCGACTGATAAGCGTTAATAAAAGTTAGCAGTCTCATTTTATTTTTATATGCCAGCTGCCACCCATAACGTGATGAAGACATCATAAAAATAAAATGCTCAGTAAAACCAAGATTACTTTACATACTTATAAGTAAAACCGGTATGGCGGTGTACCTAACCGTACCGAATTTACAGCTGTCGTTCGATGATAAACTCGTTTGAAGTGAGCCATGAACCGCGTGCACTTTTGTTAAGAGTACCTAGAGAAAATCTCACCACAGCTCAGGCGCTAATACGTACCTAAGGTATGCACTCTACATATGCACTCTATGCAACTTTTTGTGATGGAAGAGTGGCAATCTTGATGGTGGTTTTCATACAGGTATACGTCCGAATTTGTTGCGACTTGGGGCTGTCGATCTCAGCTGCCATTACGGCACGGTGAGCAGACAGTAGAAGCTGATGCCTCCCGGGCTTGAGACCTCCACAGTTAGTGGCGACCCGAACAGGTCGGGACCGTTTGGGGCGCAGAAGTGCAGACCGTTGACCTTGAACTGGTCGTCAGGGCACTGGACGTTAAAAATGTCGCAGTCAAGATGGATCAGCTGACCATCCGGACCGGTGAACACGTAGCATAAGTCCATGCTGGGAGTGTTGGTGGAGGGGTAGTTGGGCGATGTGAAGTAGTACTGGCCGGAAGAGAGCGCATAGTTTGGGCACGGTTGTGGTGGCTGGACGGTAGAGCTGGTTTTGGACTTCGGCAGCGGCTGCGGATCCTCACCCGCACTTCTAGACTCAACTTCAATAAAAGTCTTCGGCGAGTGGAGAACTCCCTCTCTCGAAGAGACGGCGTGGTCTTCCCATTCGTCTGCGGCGCCCGCGATCTTCGCGGCTGGTTTGGTGAGGGCAGCGCCCACTAGGACGAGACAGCAGACTGAGAGGCGGAACATGGTGCCAGAGTGGTTGGATGACGCAGCTAGGAGCCCGACTTTATAGGTCCGCCTTGAGAGGCCTTGGCTGACACAGGTGGTGGCGCCGCCATCACCAATCTGTGCTGATAAATGCCGATGACAGCCGGCATCTGCTGTAAGTCCGGTACACGGTTGTAGCCTCTGACAGCGCTGTAATGGCGAGCCAGGAGCCAATTTTACTGCGATGTGCCAAACACGCGATAAATACATGCATGCTTCACGAATTGATTCCCCCAGATATGATGCTGTATAAAGTACATGTCCGGCTGTACATAGTTTTGAAACTAGCACCTACTAAGTAGTATAACAAGTTAGTTATGTCATAGGTATGCGTGATTCTGATATATGTAGATGTACACAATTATGCAGCAGATACAAGTGGGTGAGGAAACTGAGCAATTATTCGTTAATTAATTAACCCTCCCCGGCCGAGGGGAAGAGGTTGGTAACATCCCTGACGGTTTTCTCGCGATTGCTCGGAACGCGTACGGCGTAACAGAGATAGAAGGCTGAAAGTTGACCTAACTTGCCTTTGATTCACATCGAATCTTCTTCCACGAACTGCGTTTTCAGGCCAGGTCAGGTAATTGACCTATCGTTTCATACGTGAACGTCTGCACGGTACCAATAGCTCTTTTAACGATGAAACATTGGACGCCTATTTGATTTGAATTTGAATTTGAAAGCAAATAAGCAAGAAAACCGACGTTTCATTAAAATGTTGGAAACAGTAGGTAGGTACTGTAGGGGAAGCCGGGGGAAGCCCGGCATAGTAAGCTCTTTTTCATTTTTATTACATACCATACGTGCTGTATAAAATGTTGATAACCTGTTAGCTAGCTAAGTTCATTGGCCGTGTTTTCCCAAAAATTCGGTTTCGTGGAATAAGTATAAGGTCGAGAAAATCGAGTTTTAAAAAAGTGTTGAATTTTCTGGGGTAAGCCCGGCATAGGGGTAACACCGGCCACCTCCCCAGCGCTTTACAACGAGTTGATGAAACCATTATGTGTCTTCCAAATATTAACGGAAAGTGAAATATTAAGGTACTGATTAGCTCTGGACATCTTAGAGTTTATGTCACTACTGGTATTTTAGCTAGCGTCTACCACATATACAGTACAGGTCGATGAAAAGCGTGATGCAAAATTGACAAAAAATGTGTATTTCATAATTCCTTAAAATTTATTTTCTTTTTACCTTAATGCATCATATTGCATATCATTCGACTCGGCTGATGAAGAAGAACACAACGACACCATTTTTGAAGCTCTAGCTTCATTGTCTGTCGCGTTATCTGCAAACACGTAGTTTGACCCTAGTTGACCTTAAGTGACATGACTGGCTTTGTCTATGATAACATGTTTATTTTCGAAATTTATCTTTGATCTAGGTGTAAACCAAACCTGCTCAGTACCTATTACCTCATGGATAACAGTGGTTTAGTGGCATCGCTCTCGGTTGGGGGTAAGCTTGGCCACTCGCCCAGGGTTACCCCAATCTGCTAATTTTTATTTTAGAACAGCGATGTTCGAAAAAAATGTCATACTTAAGCCAGCCTGCCTCGTCACCTCTCACTACAAACACTTAAACGGTCCTTACATAACATTCGTATAAATATTAGTACTGTATGGTATAACATTAACAGTGCAACATGTCTCACTTTTTAGCTAAAACCCCTTAAAATATCATTTTTGCTCTATAACTTTAACAATATGCATTTTTTGTTAGCCTTAACTTTTTTGTTGGCGTTACCTTAGCTGCCACGCTGAAAGGACAAACAGTTGAGCATTTTATTGTGAATAATTTAGCCGGAAACGGGGTGGCCGGGCTTCCCCCGCGCCCGGGCTTCCCCCGGCTTCCCCTACCTACCTGTAAGGTAAACAGCTACAAAAATTTAGCAGGTAAGACCAAGCAGATCAGACTAAATAGGTGCCCAATGTTCCGGCATGAGAAGAGCTAACATTAGCCGTTTTCACGACGGCCATCTGGTACACATTTGGTGAACATCTGGTGCAGATTAGGTGCAGGTTTGGTCAAATTAGGTTCAGTGTGTCTCTTAGTAGCTATCAGCTAGGGTTCACAAGCATTGATATGCCTACTTTGTCATATGATCAGAGAGCATCATCGATTAAAACACTAAAATAAATTCAAAAAATGAAGATATTTGCTGTAAAAAAGATTAGGTGCAGATTTGGTCAAATTAGGTGCATTCGCCGGATAGCCCGTCGTGAAAACGGATAATGTCACTATTATATAATTCGAAACTCTCTCGGAGTGCCTTTCAGAGGGAACGTAAACGAACAGAGGTAATAATTGCACTCACACTCGCAACTTTTTAAGATTAATATTATTTTTTTTCTAAAAGGCATGCGAGGTCAGGACGGTGACCGGTCACGTGGCATCACCATTAGGTAGGCATTGTATAGTCAATATGGGAAAATATATTATATAATACTACATTATTTTGGTGCCGGAAATGATCGGTGGTCATCTCAAACACCTGAAATCGTGATTCCATGCACTCGTTGCAGAATCCGACGCTAATGGTTTGCACTGGGAGCGTTGAGTGATGTCATAAAAGACGTCACTAGCCTCGCTTGAGACCATCGGAGTTCTCCGTAAATTAGTTTCGATTGCATTCAGCTAACGAGTCAGAAAGCCTTCTATGAACTGAGAAAGACCAGCCGAACCGAAGTAGGTATACGCGACATCATATGCGACAATTACCCACATGCGACAATACCTCCCTGACTAGCTTCGCAACCTGAGTGAGCCCAGGGCCTTTGACCTGACCTGAGGTAAGCCTAAATTGCCCTTACCTTACTCAAACTAAAGCTTTTAAGTGCCTATTCGTACATCACTCGACGCATCAGAGCACGGCGAATGCACGATGGGAAAACATTTTAGTTTGACCATTTTTGGCAAAATATTCACCCGAGTCCTTTTTGGGGCATTTGACCTGACCTCAGAGGTCACCGTTTAACCTGAGACCTTAAAATGGGTTACCAGTCGCTGCTTGACGACGCAAAAACTCGCTTTTCCCGACTAAACCTTGCTCGATTGTTGGTGAAAAGTGAAAACGCAGGCGCTGATGCTAACCCTCTCCTTCGGCCGAGGCTTATATGCTTATATATATGAAATAACAAAGCGATAGGTCAGATGAGGGCCAGGCTTGAAAATTTTGTCCGCAGTCAGCGAATTTTCTGTTGCCTATAAATCTGGCCTTATGTTCCTATTTATGAATATTTATATCAATCCGGTGTTGATAGTCAACGAATGACAAAGCCACATAGGAGTAAAGAGCTCAAAGTCAACGAGTTCTTCACATCCAGAACCCGTAAATCCTTTCCGGGGTGACCGTTCGGGAGGCAGGCGGGCGGACTGTCCCACCGGGGGGGGGGGCAATCCGGTCCCAGCGGGACGGTCTCGCCTCCGCGGGTCACTGTCGGTGTCCCTCACAGCCCAATGGCTATCCCCGGCCCTATCCAGTCCTATCATCCCATAACTCTGTAGTCATAGTGGTCTCTTTAGGGCAAAAGGGCTTGCCTTCCAACACAACAAACAAAACGTTTCCATCCTTACGGTAGCCAAATCACTTCTCCTCCACGCCTCGAACCCTCTGTTCCGGGCTGGACGGTCACCTTCATCCCGCGTGGGTAGCTCTTACCTCAGGTCCATGAGCAGGACCGCCGCCCATGGCCGGGTGCGGTGACCGTTAGCGGGGCTTGGTGGCCTGTCCACTGGATAGGCTCAGCCCCGGCGGAGCACCAGGGTTGAGGGTGCCCGCCCGGCGCCCAGACCTAGGCCCTGTTTCACCGGTGATAGCAGCACGCTGCTTTTACACGTGTCAAATTGGGTTTCCATGGAAACATCAACAGGCCCATTGCTCCAACACTACCGCAAGTGTGACGTCAGCTCGCGCAATTTGATAGCAGCGTGGTAGCAGCGTCCCGTGAAACACCGCCCTAATTCATATCATCCATCGACCCGCCGGCTCCGAAATGGTCTCGTTGGACCGGAAGAGCCTAAGCCAGTAAATGAGCAAAACAAAAACAATGAGATAGGAGTCAGAGGAGATAATGGATCCCACAGGGTTCAAATGCCTTACGGAGGGTCGTGACCTGACCTCGTCCACCGGTTGTCAGGTGGGGTGACCGGAAAGGGAGCGTCAGGGGGATGCGGAAGAGTTTGTTCTGAGAATGGTGAGGACGGATGGATGGAAATTGGAAACGTCGGATCGGTGGTGTCCGTTCCGGAGGGTCGGCCTTTAGGGATGCTAGCCCTAGCGTGCCGCGTGGTCCCAAGCTCTTTGGAACCTCGACGGCACTCCTGAGCTGGACAGGGAACACAATGATAAATGAGGAGTGCATACGTCCCTTATGCCGCCCTGAGCTACACTACTCCTACTTATATATACCCCTATGTTTATACTCCAACTCGTACTCAGGCCTTCCATCGCGCTATTCTTGGACCAACGCAACGCAAGGCTATGTAAACCGATGCAGCAGCCGATGTAAATGAAGGAGTACTGCGCCATCTCGTGGTACAATTTCAAACTAGAGCTTCCCACTTCTCGGAAGGTGCTTCTTCAGAGTGGCTAACTATCTTTGCCTGCTAACTTCTGGCGACCTCTGCCAGCATGACTAGTGACCATTTAGGCACTCGGTGTAGTTTCATTTTAAAGATTTTATCGTATATATGACAATTCAATTCAATTTCAATTAAAGACATGAACTCGATACGCCGTCATAGCCAAATTGATGTCATGTATGACGTAAGACTGCAAAAAATGGAATTTCTATGATGTCACTGTCATTTCAAGGGTTTTCTCTTTGACATGATTACTTACGTCATGAAAAACAAAGTTTTATTTTGGTATAAATAATAACATATTCTATGCAGTTCAGGAAATCACACTCATGTTTTCTATCACATTTTTTAAATACTTTAACTTTCCTGTTAATAGTTGTTCTAAATATTGCCATACAAAATATTATTCGTCATGTGAAGTGCTTTATCCAAAAGATAAACACAAAAATATATCCATAACCTTGACAAGGATCGCAACAATGGCGTCATAATATGACGCACATCGCGGATCATTGAGAGATCGCAGTTCCGTTTATTCCGTGTAGTACGGCCGGTTTCTGCAAGATAATAAGTGATAAATTGTGTACTATTGACCCGTAATTGTTACCACCCAAGAATTTCGCCCCGAATTGAAGTAAGTATCGAGTAAGAGTGGTAAGCAGTGGCACTTTTTGCGATGTTTTGGCGCTTCTCATTCTATCCCTCTGCTCTCAGCTTGAGATATCAAGATCACTAATTGATAGCATTGCTAATGTTATCTTGATTGATCTGTTATGTCAGATGCATCATAATATGGGAATAAACACAACAGTGGCTTACATGCTCATCTCAATCTCGACATCTGGTGCTGGTGGAGGGTGTGTTGGTGTGGAGGAGTGAAGTTGCTTGCTTTTTACCATCTTTTGCTGGCATGGCTGTGTTCAACTTTGTGGTTCTTGTTTGTATGAAAGTCAAGAATGATATAGATCATCACGAATCAGAATAATCATTTTTTTTGTTCATTATTCAGCAGTCACCTTATTCTTGTGCGGCTGCCCCTTCATGTGCACTGCTCCCCAGTCCCCAGGTCCTTGATGCCCACTTCTCTTGGCACAGGTGTCACCATGCCGGACCACTACCTGCTCCAGTGGAGCAACCACCTGACCAACATCGCTGCCGCCTTCTCCACACTGCGTCAGAACAGCAAGCTGGTGGATGTGACGCTGGCCGCTGACGGTCGCTCCATCCAGGCACACAAAGTTGTGCTCTGTGCCTGCAGCGCCTATTTTGAGGTATGATGCCATAGTGCCAAAGGGCTGCATGATACTGTTGGGCTAGACTGCAAAGAATGGCAGTGACTATAAGATCGTTGGTACGGGGAACTCTGCCGGCTTAAACTCTGGTGCAGATTTAAAAACAAAATAGAAACTGCCTGAACATTTTAGGTGAAGGATTTACAAGAGCAGAATTTCTGCTGAGCAAAGCTTGTTGCATTGGCCCTGCCCTCTACCTTCTGCTCACAAAATGCTTGGTCTACATGCACATAGCTGAATACAGCCAGTCCCCTCAGCCTCACTGACTCAGCCTGTGACCAACCGCAGCCATACCTGTCAGGAGGCACATAAACATTGAGCACCCATCGTGCCTGGAACCCAAGACTTGTTACCAGGACTGGAATCATAAAATATGTGTAGTGAGTTGTGAGTTGTCGTGACCTCCCAGCCCTGACCCTATCTGCTGCCCTCTGCAGGAACTGCTGTCCATCAACCCATGCAAACACCCCATCGTCTACCTGAAGGATGTTCAGCACGAGCACCTGTCGGCAGTGGTCGAGTTCATGTACAGCGGCGCCGTGTACGTGGGCAACGAACACCTCGACGACGTGCTCAGCGTGAGTGGTGACGTCATTGGGTTGTGTGGATGATGACATCATTGGCTTGTGTGGGTGATAAAGTCACTCCACTGGGATGTGAGATTGGTGAAGTGTTATCATTCTGTATGCTCATTGCTCATACATAATGATAGGCAGCTATCACATATGTAGTTTTTCATTGTTTAAATCGCTTTTTGTCAGAGTTTCATCAGTTTGCAGATATTCTTGAAAGAGTTTACACAATTCATCATTTTTTTCCTGTGGGTCCATCAGTCAGACATTTCTCAGACAGTTGACATTCGGGTATACCTACACATCTTCTGCCCCCGGTTCGACTGTTGACACCCCTCCCGTCCCGTCCCGTGCTCAGCTGGGGGCCAGTCTGCGCGTGCGTGGAATGGTGGATGTGAAGGGCGCCGGCTCGTCCTCCCGGCAAGGCTCCAACGACGAGAACAAGGACCCCGACACACCGGCTAGCAAGAAGCGCAAACGTCGACCCGGCCTGTCACGGGACAACTCGTCTGAGGAACCAGGTAAGCAGAGGAGACGCGGCTTGTGCGGGGATTGGACACGTGGCTTGTTGTGAGATAACTCCATGTAAGAGCTCGGTATGCGCAGGAGACGGGGGTGCATGCTAGTCAGGAAAAATGGTAGTTACCGGGGAAAACTGCACCGATGACTTAGCCAGTTCGGCCGTTCCTGAAGTCTGAACAGTCTCGTCAACGACGGAAGGCTCGGTAGTGAGGAGGACAAGACCAGACCGTGACGATAGTAGCTGGACGTACGCAGAATTCTGAGCTGCGGTGGCTTACACCGACTTGCACTGAAAGGTTAAGCGCATAAGCGTACGTATGTACGTGTTATCTTCCGTGTGTTGTTGCTTCATGCTTGGTATATCTCAAATAGGATGATTTCTGTCAAGATTCGTGGTCATTGATCAGTGATGTAGTTTTTATTCATGACGACAGGCACTGACCACCCGACCTATTAAGCGATATTCGTGTTACAATTTCACACGCAGCTCTGACTGGTCTGCGGTGCTGACCACAGGAACCATTGTGGTCCCCCAAAGATCGCTTGTCTGACCACTGGATTGCCTATCAGATCAGGTGTGTATCGGACTCTATAAGCGGTGCTAGGAGCATCGAGAGTATGCGAGATTGTTGCAACTTCCTAGGCGTTTCATTTCATTTCACACTCTTTCACCATAAATGCCTCTCCTGGCATTGTCACGTGGGCGGCTGGCTGGTGGTGTGCGGCTGATGGGACGTTTTATCACGGAAGTCGATTTTACATATCTTTGGGTTCACCTTGACCGTGCAAATTCCATCGCTGCATCGACAGTCATTTCGACATAGCCTTTAATGTGATAATGCGTTTTTTTTTTTTTGCTGAAGTTACGGTGACGTTTGATTGGTGCTATCGGATTTATCGATAGGCCACATGCGTTGTAACATTTTTTTAACGATGCACCTTTCGTTATCCAACGGGCGAAAACTCCCGAAACTCTGTAAGCGGCCAGAGTTCCACCGTCTGGCCCAAAAGCTGTTTGGCTGGGTATCTCGTGAGCAGCTGCTATTGCGTGTTTTAAGTCCGCTTTCAGAGTAGGCCGCACGCACCGAACTGTGTTACGAAGGTCGCAGGCGCTGGCGCTGAAAGGCGCTGAAACAGCGCAGCTCTTCGTCGTTTAGCGATGTAATTAACACCCGAATAGTCTGTTGGGTCAGTTTGCGGAAATTAGCTAGTCATTTTGGGTCATCAAAAGTCGTTTCTTGGCCCATGGGTGTCGATATTATAATCCACAATGTTGAAGGACTCTGAGGAGCACATTTTGAGGCGGAAATTCGCTTATCGTGCTCTTTTGCTGAGTACGACAGCAAAGGATGCAGTCGAATCCGCAACCATGAAATGAAATGCGGTAAAATCCCTGTCATGTTATGGATTCATATATAACTAAGTTTGCTGCATCAATCAACCGGATATGAACACATGCGGTAAACTGTCAGCTGGCTCCAACAGGTTATATAGGATGTGTGGCATCACATTACGTCATAAAGATACGTAATGTCCGGTGCATTTTCCTTGGTTGTGGACGGGGGAAAATGTCACCAGCCACTTAGGGTTCATTCAGACTTTGGGTAATGCGCCCGGTGAATTACTCGACTTGTCTGCTATTGAATTGGAGACGACACATGTCATGTGGGTGACGAGTGTGTCGCGAAAATGGAAGAGCACGTCCGTAATACGATACCGTGCGCAGGTCCCACGTTACTCGTCCTGGCGAGCTCTATAAATGTGAACTATATGCATCTCATTACAGCGCTCGATCGGTTCCTAGTTATGATGCTTATATTCCATTTTACTCATGCAATACACAATTGTGGTTTTATCATCAGTCTTGTTATAATTATGTTTGCCATTTTAGGTAATAGTATTTGGAGTATCATGCAGTAACAACTGCGTCGCGTGGACTGTCATTGGGTCCGTCATATACGATTTGCGAAACATTCTTATCCGCCTCTCAGCTAGCGATACTCCCGGGTTAGATAATATAACATGTCGCGGTCAATATGTTGATGTACCGCTCTGCGTAAGTCCGATACAGTGTCCGATACCGCCGCTGTATCGGCTGTCCGTCCTGCCGTCAGTCACGGGCTGCCAGCGCGGCGCTCCGACCGCGATCCACCTGTCTCCCCCTCCCCCTGCGCTCCCCCCCCCCCGCGGCCCCGTTACCGCCGGACGGCTGACGTCACGCCTGCCGTGCTGACGTCATTGCCGCGCCGCTGACCATCTCGGTCGGCGGCTGACGTCATCCCCGGCGAAGGGGGGGGGGGACGGTGCCGCCTTGTGGTTACGGAGGGACGGAGGGAATGTAGCGGCGTTGTTATGGAAACCAGAGTCACGGACCTTCAGTAATGTTTGGTCTAGTCACGTTCTACATATGTATCGAGAAGGAACTAATGGAAATGTAGGCATTGTTCTCTAACGCGTGACTACATATTCCATTCACCAATGCAGACGTAATTGAGGTAGTACAACTGCCCTTATTCGTGTCATTTATCAGCTACCTCGCAGTGTGCCTGGATGAGGTCACACTACCGCGCCTCCGGTTGATAAGAGCGGCGCCGCCGAGCGTCGCCTTCGCTGTGGGTTTATTTGTGTTTGGATCGGTGACGACCTCTGTATGACACAAGCGCTGGTCGAAGGAGGCGGGGGGGGGGGGGGTGTCGCCCTGGGACTGTCGGCGAGGGGCGGGGATGACGTCACTCGCCCGGTTGCGAGTACAGCCGGAAGGCTATCTCGGCTCCGTCTTGTCCGTCTCGGCTGGCCCGGGGTGTCAGGACGGGCTCAGGATGATGCGCTGATAGTCACACCCACTGGAGGGTTTGGAATTGCCGGTTATGCCGGTGTTCTGGGAAAAGCCGCCTGTTATTAGATTAGGGTTATTTACTTTGCGGTTGTAGATGGAGCGCTTCCTGACCCAGCATCGTTGTTTTTTTTTTGGGGGGGGGAGGGGTATTGTGAGGCAGAAGTTTAACCCAAAGTCACGGGAGCAAAATCCGTGGTTGACGCTGGATCGCTTCTGCAAAAAGTAGATTAAACAGGTGCTGGGTTACTAGTTTGGAACTACCCCTGGCCGCCCGTGATAGCATTATATTCTGCTGCCGTTCTCGCTTGAGGTGGTGGTTGTTGAACTCATCTGTCTAGCCGTTAAATTTTCTAACGTGCAGTATTTCTTATGTGTCCACCACGTATCACTCTTCACCACACATTCGTTTTGTCGTGCCGATGGAATGCCTCCATTCTACGTCCCTCACGCTGTTTATTGTGTAGCTCTTCTGTGTCACCGCCTTCTCTTATTCCCACGCCGTGTCTTGTCCACCCCTTCCTCCATCCCTCTCCCCTCCATCCCTCTCTGACGCCTCTGACCCAGTACCTCTACTCTTACCACCGCCCTGTTGCTCGGCTGCCCTGACGACCCCTCTCCCTCCCCCAGCGGCCCAACAGGTGACGGTGCTCACCCGCGACCCGTCGGTGGATCAGGACCCGGGCGTGGTGGAGCAGTTGCCGGCCCCTGCCCAGCCCGGGCCCATGGAGACCGCTGCCACCTCGGCCGCGGCCGCCGCCTCAGCCGCGCCCTCCACATCGGCGCCAGAGCAGCCCATGGGAAAACCAGCCACCGTGCCGGTAGGGAGGGGCGCCGGGGGTGACACTGTGTTGGAGGGCTGATTGTTTAACGTAATGCCTTTCATACTTTTTAAACTCTAGTTGAGTTGTTTGCTATTGGAACTTCATTGTATTTTCTGACAGATTTGCTTGAACGTAAAAATAGCTGGACAAGGCTTGCTTAGCTATGAAAATGGCCATAATTCTGTTTTATTTAGTATCGGTCTCCTTCCTGCTGTAATGCACACGGCCCTCTCATCACGTTGCGGCGTCTGACGGAACTAATGATTCTCCAGACGGCCGCCGAGCGGAAGGCGGCGCCACCGCGCTCCTACTCCGAGGGCGACATGGGACTCAAGGGCAAGGACGGACTGGACGCTGAAGGTACGGTTTGAATTCAGCTCCATCGGTACCGCCGCCTAGCTAGATGGTAATTGTTCTGCTGCAACTGAACATTTATTAGCTGAACCATAAACATGGTACTGGTTGGTATGCCGGACCTCGGTATACAGAAGTCCATTGGCTGAACCTGTTTCAGAGAGGACGTGCCAGAGTAACACAGGTTTTCCACAAGCGGGAAACTCGGGGCTGTTAATTGCTTTTGTCATTGTAAACGTTCACATTTTCAGCCTCATGTGACTGCTGTTTTTCTACTTAGTAGCAGACATGTGAGTTGGTTTTATTTACTCGCTCTTTATCCTCTCTTTCTTTTCTCTCTCACCACCCCTCTCCGTTCCCCCACAGACGGCTCGTCTCCGCGCGCCAAGCGTTGTCTGCTGCAGCGCCAGCCGCGTGTGAAGCGCGAGTGTGACCAGCCGGTCGGCGGCGGCTCCGCGGACGAGCCGCACGGCCGGCCGCCGCCGCTCTCCCAGCAGAGCGCCTCTGTCGAGACGCTGGTGTCGGATACTCCGCCGGCCGCCGGCGGGCCGTACCTGGCCGTGCCCACCGGCTCCTACTGGCCCGTCAGACAGGTGAGGGACTCACACAGTGAGAGACACCCTGCTGAGATAGAGCTGCGGATGTGTCTCGTATTACCGGCTGAGAGGGTTGACTTGAATGGGATTGAAACTGGTGACTTGTTATATGCGTCATCGTGGCTTTTATCTTTGTTCATAAACCAATACGGTTTGTTTATCTGCTGCCATAATGCAATCATGTTGATGCTTCTTGCTTTAGACGCTGTTTATTAGCAGTTTTGCGATTTGTAATGGCAACCAGGGTACGATATACGAGTTTCCCCCAGGTTAACTAGTAATCTGCTTTGTACTAATGGCAATAAGTCATGGATTTCCATCATCCCCAACCACTCATGATGATAAATAGGCGGCAGTTTCGAAGCCTCCCACCTGTCCTGCAACAGGTCCTGCACAGTGGTTGATTTCCTCTTCTCCCGCCAGATGTCGACACCGACTCCGGTACTGTCCACCCGCGAGGGCACCCTGGTCAAACAGGGCTCGATGCCGAGCATGGCGTGTGTACCGCAGCCGAGCTCCAGCCCGGCCACCATACAGAAGCAGCGCTCCACGCCCGTGCTGAGCCGAGGGGGCTCCGGGCCGCCAGGTGAGCAGGGGAAGGGGGCGGGTCGAGTTGCTGGAACGGTACACGAATTGACGCTGAAATATTTGGGTTGAGTGATTTAACATTGATCACGTGATTTAGGTAGATTCTATAGATTTAGTTTAGATTTAGTTCGTGATTTAGTTCATATAGATGCGCAGCTGCTGCTCCGTGCAACATTATGTCATTGCCCATTTCCTTTTGCTGTTTCAGTGTGTCTCGTGGTGAGGGACCCGTCTGGCCCCTCTGATGTCCCTCCCCTCTGTGTTACAGCGTATTTCGTGGTGGGCGGCTCGTCGGGCACCCCGCTAAATGTGTTGATAGTTGTTACCTCTGATGGCTGATGCCCGTTTCCCTCTGTTACAGCGTATTTCGTGGTGGGCGGCTCCTCTGGCACCCCTCTGATTTGTTGTTAGTTGTTAGATACCTCTGATGTCTGATGCCCATTTCCCTCTGTTACAGCGTATTTCGTGGTGGGCGACTCTTTGGTGCACCCCTCTGATGCCCCTTCCCTCTCTGTTACAGCGTATTTCGTGGTGGGCGACTCTTTCGTGCACCCCTCTGATGCCCCTCCCATCTCCCTTACAGCGTATTTCGTGGTGGGCGGCTCCTCTGGCACCCCTCTGATTTGTTGTTAGTTGTTAGATACCTCTGATGTCTGATGCCCATTTCCCTCTGTTACAGCGTATTTCGTGGTGGGCGACTCTTTGGTGCACCCCTCTGATGCCCCTTCCCTCTCTGTTACAGCGTATTTCGTGGTGGGTGGCTCGTCGGGCACCCCTCTGATGCCCCGTTCCTCTCTTTCACAGCGTATTTCGTGGTGGGCGGCTCGTCTGCCACCCCGCTGATGCCGGTGGTCGTCAGTCAGAGCCAGTCGGTGCCACAGATCCTGCTGACATCGGTAAGGCAACGGGCAGGACTGGCTTGCGTGAGAGATTGAGGAAGGTTTAAGAGCGAGCATTGTGTGGGATGGGCTAGGCTAGCCTGTATTTGTTTGTTTGGGAGAGGTGGGATGAGTCATGCTGGAACGGAATAGCGATAGCCTGGAGGGAAATTGGGTGTGTGATTAGTTGCTGTTGTAATATAATTTGTTGTGATATGCTGTTTGCTTTAACCTTAATTGTGTTGTAAACTGATTTCACTCCCAAGTCGACCCACGCTGGGATAGACTGAACCGGAGCATGTGTGTTGTGTCGTATGGAAGCAAACAGCAATCAACCTCCCTCCTCTCAGCATTACTCCCCCCACCTCCACCTCACTCACCGCCCCCCCCCCTCTCGGACAGGCGGACGAGGCCCAGCCGCCCTCGGAGCGGTCGCCGAGCTGCCGCTCGCACGCGCCGGTCCTCCGGGACGGGCCGGCCGTCTCCTGTTCACACTGCTGGAACACCGAGTACTCGCAGGGCCGCACACTGCGCAGAAAGACCAAATACATGTGCCGCGACTGCTCCGTCAGCCTCTGCATCGTGCCCTGCTTCCAGGTATGGGGTCAATTCGGGGAGACAGGCGGGTACTGATAGGGCCGGGGAGACGGGCGGGAGACGGGGGACAGGCGCTGGGCTGAGTGGGTGGCTGCCTGAGTCTGTTTGTGTCGGCATACTTGGTTGTGCTTTCATCACCTGAATTTGTGTTTGTTTTTCTTCTTGTTTATTTCTCATCTGAATCACTTTTGCTTTATCGTTTGAGTTCGTTTCCTCTTAAATACCAGCCAGACGAATGCCAGCTATGCTGTTAATTAAAGCCAGCTTCAGGATCGCCCGTAGATTGATGATTGGCGGGCTCATGTTTATAGAAGATCAGCGATACCACCACCTGTGATGCTGCCTCGGATAAACGCACCCTGGCCTCTGTTGATCGCCCCCTCCCCTCTGTCCGGCAGGAGTACCACGAAACCGTCTCTAAGTCCCCGCTGGTCGTCACCCGTGACCCCAACAAACCCCTCAACAAGAAAATCCTCCCCAAGCTCGGCTCGCTCTGAGCGCCGCGCCTTGGTGACGTCATGACGCCGTGACGCACCCGTGTGACGCGTCACGTAATCAGTACATAGAGTGACGCGCGGAGACTAGCGGCGCGAGTGGCGTTACGCATCTCTTCGTCACGAGGTGTGGCCTGGAATCGCGGAACGCGACGCGACATGTGACATATCGACGAAGGCTCCGCCGCGCCGGAGCGTTACACAAGTCATGGAAGCCGTGCACCGCTCACCGAACTGCTAGTGTGAGTGAGCTTGCGCCGTGTGTGGTGGTTTTGTGCGCCTTTACGCGAGGGCGGCTGTCATCTCTCGCTCCCCCTGTCACTGCTACCGCACGGAGCGGTGCTGATCGTGTACCTGACCTGTACATAGTGGCGGAGGGACGAGTAGCGTTAGAGGGGCGCCCCCGCGCAGCGCCCCGGCGACACTGGAGGTTTGCCTGTGCCATTGTGACCGGATGAACGGTTGGAGGAGGTGGCGGGTTACAGGAGAGAGTGAGGGAGAGGAGAGAGGAGGGCGGTGGCAGGAGGCGGTGCGCGGTTTGACAGGTGCCGAGGGCGGCTGGGCGCGCAGTAAGGGCAATTTTAGACGCCACGTCAGTGGACAAAGGGAAGGGGTGGGAAGCGGGGGCGTTCGTGTGACGCTGCGTTGCATCACTTTATGTTACGTGATTTGGCCCGGAGTGGTGTGGTTTGGCCGCGTGTGTTTTAGAGGGACGTCGGTCGGTGTATTCCTGGAACGAAGCGCGCGGCGAATGGCCGGGCTCTGGTCTGACCTGACCTGACCCGGGCTGATGTAACGTCAACGGTCCGTTGGACGGCGTGCTGCCATATGGCGCCTGCGGGCTGCCAGATGATCTTATTGTGTGTATATTATGTGTGTTTGGAGTGTGCGAGTTATTCCCGCTGGCCACGGGGTTGACGAGACTCCGATCGAATCGGAGGTGAATCCGGTCTGCTCACAAGTTTGTGTCGACAACCGTGAGCGCTGTTCACTAGAAGCGTCCGTAGAATAAACACGTACGTTCCAAAAATCTTTCGATTCTTTAGTCGCCAGCCTGTGAATTATCCGTGATTACCGAAAGCGGAAACGATATGTAAATTGGCGTCTCCTGATTGGTCTGTTTGCATTTAGACTTGCTTTTCTGCCTTTTTTTGCCGTCGTGGCTACGCAGCGCGTTGTATTTTGCAATGACGGATTATCTCTCCTTCAATCATGTAAACCATTAGGTTTTCGAGCAAAGCGGACCCCAATTGCGTTGCTATGGCAACGGTTGCCCTCCGCCCCTGCGACCCGTGATGTTTCGTCGATACATGCGATGCGATACGGTTGATGCTCGAATCCAACTCGAATCCACGCGCGAACCGAGCCTTTCTTTTGACACCTTGAATAAGCACAAGTTGTAACAGTCTATTGCGAACGATTCACTGCAGAGGCTCTTCAGAGCGCACGCGATTTCAGTATTTGTTCGGTAAATCCGTAGCTCGGTTGCAGACTACTGCACTGAGAAGGAAGTGTCTGCTAGAGAAGTTATGGCGTACAACACTACGGAACGGCCCGGCACACTGAATCTTCGAGGAAGGGGAGAATATGTCAACACGAAAGTTCGCACCAGTGACCGGTAAGTTGATCGTCTGAAGTTCCCAAAGTTTGACGTCATGTCAATGTTGTTCTATGATGCGCCCAAGGCGATAACTACATGTGTATGTGCCTTTAAAAGTTCACATGGTTTGCTTTCCTCTAAGAACACTGCTACACTTTTCACAAAGTTTCTCCGATTGCAATAATGTCATCAAATGGTGTTAGCGTTGTTAGTGACTTATGGAAGTCACTTATCATCAAAACACTGTTCTTTTTTCCAGGCAGATCAGCGAGCAGGCCGAGCCTCGCGACTACGATCCGCTGCGATCGGACATCTGGAACCTGCACAAATCGTCCTACAACCGCATCTCGGACCTGACCCACAACGAGTTTCACAGCACCACTCGGGTACGTGCATTTGTGAGGGGGCCGGTCACGTGGTATAGTATAAGACCCTGTATAGCTCATGATACAACATTTTTCCTATTTCGATTCCATGCAGCTATAACGCGTATCTGTCCCTCCCGAATATTGCAAAACATGGTCGATGTTAGATCAATGGCTCTTAATTACCTTTTGCATCGTTTCTTCTCGGCCAGCGCTATCCGTAAAGCAGTGCTCGATGTGTGTGTTGGTATGTTCCAGGACTCCCTGGACCGCACAGTTCAGGAGCGGGCCCGGCTGCCCCTGGACCGCTCCCACCCGCTGCACGTGGTGAGGAGTTTCGGAGTCACCGACACCGCTCTCAGCAGGTACGATCTGTGGTGGACTGATTGTACAAACGAGCAGTTTCGATGGTAATTGAACGACTTGACAGCAAAAATGAGCATAAATGCCTTGGTTAGGACTTCGGGTTTATCCCTGTAAGTGACTCATTATGTAATTGTGTCAGATTTCATTTTCATTTGAGATAGCCGGCTTCGATTTTCGCTGCATACGATCGTCGTTCGCACAATGCGTAGCCTAGCATCCAATTCAGAGTTCATTGACTTGCCTTTGTGTGATCTTTATATGTGTCTGACTGGTGTTCACTGGTCTGTCTGTCCCCAGACAGCTACGGCAGCTGAACACGGGTGTATTACCGTCCCACCCAACCAATCACAACCAGCACACCATGCAGTCCACATACAGGGAGACGTACGGCAGGGACGGGCGCGCCGGGGTCGAGAGGGAGCCCCGCTGTCAGGTTAGAGTCGGAGGGAGGGAGGGAGGGAGAGAGACAGGGAGGGGGGGGGGGGGGGTGGAGGGAGAAAGAGGGGGACTGGGGAGGCACGGGGACCCGCATTTGCTACTGTACAGTGTATGTACACGAACCCAAACTCTAGCCGTCTGTCCTGCCCAGTAACAACCGATAACATTGATTTCGACTGCCGGTCCCTGTACAAGAGCAGCTGAGGTTTTCTGTGCGTGCCCTCTGACAGCTAATCGTTGTTCCCTGTGAGGGTGCTGGGACAATTTACTCAGGGTCGCTGTACAGTAGCAACTGCGGGTCCCCGTGCTGTAATTGCTCGTATCGTATCAGCTCGATCAATGAAACAAAAAAAGCAGGATTTTTATTACGAATCCCGTTCACGCGAACTACTTCAACTAGACAGTAGACACCAACCCCGACCCATCATAACCACGCCCTGTTCTAACCTGACCTCGATCTCGACCTGACCTGACCGGACCTGACCTGACCTGACCTGCCCCCTCAGCCCACTCAGACAGCAGACAAGTGGATGCAGTTCCGGAGGCGCAAGTCGTGGCTGTTTGACACCGATAAAGCTCCGAGTCAGTTCACCGATGACGCTCTGACGTGCCCGCCGATACCTAAAGAGGTGAGCTGTAGGACCCGGGGATCGGGATGGCCGTGAGGTAGAGCGCAAGAGCGGAGAGAGACTAGAAGAAGAAAGGGAGGGAGAAAAGGGACCGGATTATTGACACCGACGGATTTTTGACACTATCTGCTGCAGACCGGTGCAGCTATATACAGCACGTATGTAATTCGATATGTCGCCCGTCATCTCTGAGCTTTAAACCGACTCAATTAATTGAGGGTTTAATGCTTAAATGTTAAAGGCCAGCTACTGTGGCTGGAGCGAAGTAAAACGAGTAATGTGCATTGTGCAATGCGCACTATGCATGCATTCCTCTTGCCTAAGAGAGGGAAACGATGACGGAGTGTAAACATATCCACCGGGGCGGGGAGAGAGTAAGGAGAGAGATAACACTCCTCTCACCGCCGGCTGTAGAAATGTGACACCAAGCGAATATAGCCGCCGGCATTCTGGTATAACTGGAAGCGGCTGAGTGCCACAAGTCACAGCGACATTCCGATGGCGGCCCAAACCGGTCCGGCGACTGGCTCAGACCGGCAGAGTTTGACGGCACCGTGCGCTATGGCGGCGGGTAGAGCGGCCAATGTCGCCACACTGCGGGCGGATGGAACGCGCGGACAGACGGCCGTGGCTTTTTTCGTCCCACTTGCAAAAATACGCTGATTTGATGTTGTCTAAGACGATGTTGTGCAAGGAAGGGTGAATGTGTTTGACATGCAAAGTAGTTGTTTCGTTTGACATGTCCGTTTGCGATTCCTGGTGACTGATTATTTTGCGCTGATTGTGGATGTCGATTGCGCAGTGTTTGCCGCGTGCCAATGCGGTGGTTATTTAGTATTCACGGCACATGTTCCAGGTTCGAGCGTGCATTGAAGCGGCTCAAGACGCGGGCGACACCTGTCGCAAGATGGACCAACTAGAGAAGCAGGTGGCAGCACTGCAGCACAAGCTGAGCGAGGCCCACTACCCAGGTAGAGCCCAGGGGCCGGGGAGAGGGAGAGCTGAGGGGCGCCGGCGGCTGCGTCAGTCCAGAGAGTTTCTGCGGACCTCGGCGGCTCTGCCGGCCGCCTGTCTCTTGGCTGACTCTAGATGAAATGGAGGAAAAATGCTTTAGATCGTTATAATTCATGTCATGTACCGGCTTACCACGGATCGTTTGCGAGATGATCTCACTTGAAACACTCAACGACGTGCTCAGCTTTGTGCTTCGTATTCCGTTTTAGGAATATGTAATGTTCCCAGTTTCTGGAAGGATTTGCAAATGTGCTGATGTATTTCCTGGCTTGTGGTTGCAGACGTGACTTGTAAGCAGTTGTAGAGATTGCACACAAACTTGTTTTGTGCTGGCCGTCATATAATAATCCGCCGTATTGTTTGGCAAACGTTATCTGCCTATAATTCTGGAATTGTAATTAATCTTCAAAGCGATGCCCCTACATGAAAGTGATTTTTTGTACCTTTTTTTTAGTTCAGGCGGTATGTTCTCGGGCAACTTGTAGCGTACCTTCCCTTCCTGCTTCAACGACACAATCCAGTCCGTCTCCATCCTCACCCACCCTTCCTTTTCCAGAGCCGGTCTCGGGTCCTCCCGTCCCGACTGAGCCTCACGATCCAGCTGATGAATCTCCTAATCTCCTCGAGCCTAGTGACCGTGCGGCCCCCGCGACAGCTACCGAACGCCAGGAGCCGCCCCGAGACGGCACCACGCCCGTCCCAGAGCTGGAGCAGACCCGACCGACGACACAGCACGCGTCAGGCGAGGCACAGAGGGACAGCAGTCCGGTACAGAATACCGTGGATCAGTCTGAGAGGCCGGAGGGACCTCAGCCATGTTCAGCTGATCGTGAGGATCCTGTAGGTCCCAGCGTGGCTCCAGCGCACCCCCTGGACCCTGTGGACCCCACTCACCTGGCGGACCCGGAGTACCCCACAGCGCGGCGGCTGACGTCGCCGTGCGCTCCCCCGGAGAGGGACCTATCGGAGGTGTTCCCGGAGGCGGACACCACCCACTGCCCGGGCCCTGCGGCTCCGGCTCCCCTGCCGCCCTGCCCGCGCGGCCCGGCGCCCTGCCCGGCTCTGCCGGCGGTACCCGGGTGCCGGCCGGTACCGCCGCCGCCCGGCCGGTACCTCTCCACGTACACGGCCGGGTACGGGGACCCGGAGGCGGGTCTGCGGGCCACTGCGGCGCCCCGCTCGGGCCGGGAGTTGTACCGCGGTCCGGCGCCACTGCCTGGCCTGGTGGCGGGCACAGCACGCTGCAGGGACCGGCTGAGCCGAGCAGTGGCCACCGACAGGGAGCCAGAGGTCGGCCCGACCACCGCCGCCGCCTGCGAGGAGAGCGTCTGACGTCATTGGAGGACAGCAGGTGACGTCATAGGAGGACGGTTCTTACGTCACCGGAGGAGATCGGGCGACGTCATCGGAGGGAAGAGGGTGACGTCATCGGAGGACAGCCGGTGACATCATCGGAGGAAGGATGTCTGGGATCTAAAATGGGTCGCTTTATGCAGCGAATGCTGATGGTTTGGAGCGTGAGAGAAGACGGGGTGGGATAGTGTGGTGAGTTCTTAGAATAAAGGCCAGACTCCGTTGCGAAGAGATCCACAACAGATTTTCTTCTACTTGATGAAAGAGAACTGAATATTAGATTGTTGATAATTAATTTGACGGAAAGAAAATGTTAAAGCCCTGCCAGGAACCGCTCGATACAAATAATGCGATGCGATGTGATAAATTTGTATATTATGTGTGCTAGGTATTGTTTTTAGAAGCCAACCATCGATTCTTGTTGATTTCTTTTAGGCTTGAACAAGTAACATAAAACTTGATGCTATTACGTTATGTTCACGCAGGGACGTCGATAAACAATATCTTCTGTAAAGGCATTGCACTTTAGCTGGCAGAAAATAAAATAGTAGTGACTTAACCCGCGCCCCGTAGGGGGGGGGGCCGAAACGCCCCCCCCTGTCCTTTTCGGTCGATATCTCCTAAACGGCTGGAGATATCGCCACCAAACTTTCAGGACCCCTCCGGGCATCAATTTTACACATTGCGACTAAAAATTTTTCCAGAGGCTATGATAGGTTGGCCACAAATGACGTCAGAGTGACGTCATGTTCTGTCATTTTCGACCGAAAAAAGACCTTCGCGAGAAGACCTGTCAGGACTACAGCTTTGAAGATACAGAAAAATGATCAAGACATAAAAGGTGTAGAATTGACAGGGCTACAAAACTGCTATCTCGAATTTTTGAAATTTTTGAGTTTTGACCCCCAAAAATCAAAAAAGCATTTTTTTGGATATATTCGCCAAAAAATCCAAAAAGTTTTTTGAGTTTCGAAAAAACCGGAATATATGTGATAGTGCCTACCGTCTTCTATCTACATACCAAATTTCAGATCGATACCTCGTTTTTTGGCCAAGTTATAGCGAAAAAAACTGTTCAAAAATGATGACGTCAAATTTTCAAACTCAATTTTTGGCAATTCTAGAACTCGTAGAGCAAAACAAAGACCACCATTAGACTCCCCGTGACGAGCTGCATCGAATCGATACCCATTTTATGCAAAAATATCAACTTTGAAATTTGACCTAATTTGACCTGACCTTGACCTGACCTTCACAAAAACGTGACCTAGGCTGGCCCCAAAGGCTGCCTAACCCACATAATTGCATTTGTCATGTAAAATGGACCATAAAACATGTATCACACGACACATTCATATTGTGACCCCCGGTGACCTGACCTCGCTGTGACCTGACCTGGTATCAGTGACCTCAGATAGCAAAGTATGTGTTTGACGAACAATGTACCATCGATGGTTTTCAATAAATTACCAATTTACTCGCTTTCACAGCACATTTCTTGAATTGCCTGTGAACGGTGAAAATCTGACCTTTGACCTGACCTGTGACGTCATCGGTTTGACCTAGGTCAATGAAATTTGGTCACAAGGTAGTTCCCGGGTGGGGCTATCGAACGCCGTTTGAATTTTGAAAATCGGTCGGTAACTTTCCGAGATCTTAGGGGGGGGGGGCCGATACGCCCCCCCCCCCCCATACGGGTGGTAGGGTCCGCCGGTAGCCCTACGGGGCGCGGGTTAACAATGCAAATGGTTTCCGGCGTAAATGTCAGAGCTCGATTTAAAAAAAAAAACACTTGTGGGCTGTGACACTGTTGCCTGTAAACTCTGCACAAGCCACAAAGACCTATCATAAGTCGTACCACTGTCATGTGTTGGCACTTGGCATGCAGGACAAGCGGCTGAGGACACGTCAACTACAAACGGACCGGTCGCATGCAGCCATCTCATCATCCTAAGCCGTTGTCCGTTGGTGGATAATTTTGTCGCATTTCGCTTGTAAGGCGCGGAAGAGCGTACAATATGTACTTTTAAGGCTAACTGAAGGTTGTATCCACAAAGCATACCAACTAATGCTACACACGTGTGCCTACACGTGATGCCTTATCTGATGTACGGCAGTGTTTTCGCTTTTAGAATATGACTTGTTTTACAATGAGCTCGCATGATACTGTCTCACTATGTCATTTAGCTCGTAAAATCTTTTTGAAGGACATAAATGGTTGACTGTGTCGTTTTTTTTACGACGCAGGCATGATTGATGATACCCACAAATATTTACGCCCTGCTGGGGGCGGGGGGTGTTTGAATACATCCTTCTAACTCGGATCTTGCGTCACGACCCCACGTAGAGAAGAGCGGCTATCCAATGGGCCTTTCTGCGGGGAAGAAGTTCGCTTCCGAGTTGTGTGCCGATTCGTCGAAAATTATCACAATAGGCGAAATTTGACCTTCGATGACCTCTGGTCACCTGACCTTTGGCTTGATCTGTAAAAATACCTACCGAAGTCGTTTCATGCTTTTGGCATTCTTTCGAACGCCTACCGCGTGTCACTACAAGGTGCGTACCAGAGGTCATCGAAAGTCAAATTTCGCCTATTGCGACAATTTTCAATGAATCGGCACAACACTCGGGAACCAACTTTTGCCCCGCGGAAAGGCGCATTGGATAGTCTCTCTTCCTGAGTAATGTTCTCAGATTTGACCGAAAGACAACGGTAAAGAGGATAGAGCAGAGGTTAAACCGTGAACAACTTTTTCGACCAAAAAAGGACGAGCATGACCTTATTTACTGGATGATCCTGTACAGTGCACAAAGCTATTCAATATCCATCCCTACAGCTGAGCCCCGCGTGTGATCTCTTCATCTCTAATTAAGACCCGATCATCAGCGCCGTGACCCCTGGCGGCCGGGTCACGCGGGTCACTGGGATTCAGTGCGGCCCGGGTCATGCTCCGGAGTGAGTCACCCGCACCGTGTTTTACGGTCGCTGGCCTGAAGTTAGCGTGAGTACTCAATGCCACGGATCGCCGGAGAGTCTGTGACCTTGCTGGAGAGCTGTGACCATCGGTGGTTGACCTAGAGCTGGCTCAAACAGCGACAAGGCATGCAAGAACACAGCGCCAATCGCGGGATGCCTAATCGAATGACTATAGATGAAAGTTGAAGTGCGTATACGTCAAGGCAAACCTCTTAGCCTGAGATCACAATGCGTGATAGGGGTTGGCATGGAGAACGGTAATTCAATAATTTTTGTGTGCCGTAGGGGAAAGTGGGGTAAGACGGGCACCTTAACTTTGGAGCCATTTTTCGGCCGGTTAGAAACATCATAGAAACGGGAAACTGAGTGAAAACCTTTTACAGACATTTTACTTCCATTTGCCAGAAGATGAGACTTAGACCTGACTCAACAAATAAACTGCAGCTATTTTTGCAAAACCTTGCAAAAACCCATCTTACCCCACTCCATGGGGTAAGACGGTCACATGGGTAGGGCAAGACGGCCAGCTTCTTTCACCGACCAGCACAGCTCGCAGCAAATGCCCGAGATTAGCCGCATTGATACAGTCGCTCGTTGGTCTCAAGTGCTTCGGAAATGGCAGTATACGAGATTCGTGCAGAAGGCGTATACTCGTATATAGGCCCTAGTTCAGAAGCCATGTAGAGCCGTTTTTCACATTCATTATTCGAGAATAAACTGTGCCGAAGGAATATTGCTAACATGTCTGTGAGTATCGGAATCGAACATATTCTTATCAGAAATGCTTCTTTTTTCCTACAGCAACAAAAATATTTTTACCATTACAGACCCATCGGATTCATAGTTGCCCGTCTTACCCCAAACTCAATGTCAGAAGTTCAGCACGATTTTTCTCTGTGGACAATTTGATGCAGACAAAGCAAATCCGCGGTGAATGAACACTGGAGGCATATGAGTGTGCCACAAGTGATTGCCAGTTTTTAACTCTATAGTGCTGCACACAAAAGCTTGCACAATACATTATGAATGTTTTCAATGAAATGAGTGTTTTAAAGAAATCAAAATAAAAGATTATTGACCGAACACAAATTCACCAGACTTCAATGGCGGTGTGTAGTGGGAAAGGCTATTCTGGTCCTAATTTTTCTCGCTCGTAGCGCTATTGGTTTGGTCTGCAGAGGGGGTGCCCGTCTTACCTACCTTGACCGTCTTACCCCACTTTCCCCTAGATAAAATGGAAGTGGAACGTGTCGGAACTGATAAAAGAAACTGGTGGATAACCGGTTAAAATCATCGGATCAGAAATAGCCATAGACATATTACGTTTTACAGCGCTCTGTAATGCTGTACTTAGCAGTGCTGTCGAAGCGATATTTCGGTACCTATATCCCTTCCGCGATACATAACGGCCTTGATGTGTTCAACTTCAGTCACTAATGAGTTTTACGCAAAAGATACCTAATTGATTTGACATTTCCTCGAAAGCCGGCAGCGTTCCACCGTGAAATATGAGTCACATTTAACATACTTATTCGTATTTTATTTCAATCACCAGCTTACGTTATCCCCAATCTAAAACATTCATCTCCATCGTCACCAACCTTTTTTAATCAGCACAGCTGCCAATCAGGGTTCCTGTCAGATTAAAGATAAATGTAGAAAAATGCTGCACTGATCTGCACCTGAGGTCACCACATGCGCACCCCGCTGTCAGCGAATCAATCGTAACTGCAGCTTCACATCTGAACCAGCGGAGATTGTGAATTCCACCGACATCGCCACCATCCCGGGACGATAAGTGGAATGTAGGCATGCCGCTGTCCGTTCCGAAGGAGGTAATGGATGGTGCTGTGCCGTCAAAGAGAAGTCCGGCTTATGTCAGGCACCGTTATATGAGGAGTAGGGAAGGAGAATTGTCAAAGTGTCAATGGTGCTTTTTCCAGCAGCTGTAAAATGGCACCGTCAAATTACTCGCAAGGTGTGTCTGCTTCCTAAAATACGCTGTTCAGTTCAATGTGCGCGCACTGTGTAGGTATGTTACATTAAACATTTGGTTTATTTATAGTGTTTATTAGTTATGTAGGTACACTACTTTATACAAATATGTCAACTTTTAACCCTCGCCCGCACATGCCATTTTCCCATCCTAGAACGCACATGGGGGGGGCGGGGGTGGTTGCCACCCCCCGCTCCATTTCGTTCCTGTTGGAGATAGAGCTTAGCGGCAAAGACCAAAAAGATTCCTTAGGAAGAGACGAATCCAATGATACCCAGTTTTACCTTCTCAGGTCAGTCATTGACCTTCCAGGTCAGGTCAAACTAAAAAATGTTGCTGTTTTGGGTCACCGTTGGATATCAAGTGCACTGCTTATCATATACCGATGACGATGCCGTTTTCTGGTGCCAAGCCAGCTAGAACCTCTTTGTCACACTACCCGACCAGATTTTTGCTGCTGAGGTCATTTCAGGTCAAGTTAGGTCAAGGTCAATTATATGTGTTTGTATGTCTGTGTGTGTCTGTGTGTATACTGAT